GATGGCCTCCAACCTAATAGCGATGGCCTCCAACCTAATAGCGATGGTCTCCACTCTAGTGGCGATGGCCTCCAACCTAATAGCGATGGTCTCCACCCTAGTAGCGATGGCACCCAACCTAATAGCTACGGCCGCCAACCTAATAGCGATGGCCTCCACCCTAGTAGCGATGGCCTCTAACCTAAGAGCGATGGTCTCCACCCTAGTACTAAGAGCAACGGATGTTGAGCCATGTGCAGGCCGGCAACCTTGCAAACCTATAGGTTGTTTGTTTCAATTCTGTTGTGTTGGATATGGTATGAGTGCATGTTGAAAGTCCCAAACGGCTCCACCAACGGGCATGGTGCTTACTCTCCCTCTACTGGTAGGTGAATGAGTTAGACGCCTCATGTTCTCTCATGCCCATGTTGGGTCAATCGGTTCCCCCCAAAATCACGACTGAACTGAAGAGATGCCAATCAAGACTCACCAACAGCTCAATCCCCAAGCATCACACTCAACATCACTCAACTAGTAGAGAAAGTCCAAAGATCTTCAAAATCTACGACTTTGACCCTCATTGGATTCCAGCAAATGCCACATGATCGTTGTTGAGGGACTGACCACGAACTGTGAATCTTCCACTCTTCGAGGCTGGCTGCACATCCGGCCGCTGCCGTGAATAGGATAGGACTCCAATTGACGAGCATGTGTAAAAACTCTCTTAAAGACTCGAAATGCCTCAAACGCTCTCCACGTCCATGTCGAGCCCACGTCCACCGTGAAAAAGGCCAAACCGTGGGCCAAACCTCCTTCGCGTTCGTTTCCCTTCGCATGACCGGATTTGGACTGGTTCTGGGCCTCCGAACGATGGCGCTGGGCTGCAACGCGCCGTTCTTCGGCACCTAGGCATCGGTGGAGCTTCCTGCGGAACCCGAGGCGAAGGCCTAAGCCACCCCGCGACCAACACGACGCCGGACAGCCGTGTGTGCCAATCAGGTGAGGTGGTTGAAAAGGGGTCAATGATTCCAGTCCCATGGCGTGTCTGGGACATCTTCAGTTTCTGAAGTCGCAGAGCTGGTGACATGCATGGAACCTTTATCGGGGGTTCTGGCATGGTCTGGCCATTACTCCATTACGGTATCTAGACCGTGCACATGGCCGTGAGCATTGGTGCGATGACGGATGAACTTCCACTGCTCCGCAAGACCGCCGATCACAGGCAATCTTGGCTGCACAACCCTGGCTGGGATCGGATCCTGTTCACTCACCAGACCGCAACTTAAGACCCTACTTTTCCTATTTTTTTGTGTCTTTTTCTTTGCGTGCATTTGGTTGTATGAGATATGAGATCCACACAGCTGAGGTCATTGTAGGCACTAACTTCAACTCGCCGCACCTGTGCAGGATAGAGTGTTCAAAACAGGTTCTCACGAATGCTGATCCTTGCGCATATAAGCTGCATGGAGGGTTTTTCGTTTTATAGTTTTGATTTAAACGTCTTTCAATATTATCTGCTTGGTGAACTGGTGAAACAATCCAACCCGCATCTCACAAACCTCACCCTTAACAAGAGTTCGTACTCACAAATGTGCGCACTAACCTCTAGCCCGGTCTCCCTATTCAGACTCGACTGAACCAGTGGTCGACCGAGACTGCGATCGGATCCCGTCGTTTGGACGATCCAGCAAGAACTAACAAATCCTGGAAAATAGTTAAAGGTTACCCTCCCTGAAACTTAATGGAAGTGGAATACAGCCTGTTCGTAGAGGAAAATAGTTTTCCCATGTTTTCCAAGGGGCCATGTTCCACTTCCATGTTTGTTGGATGCAGGTTAACCAAACTGTCCACCTGTTCCATCTATCCACCAGGGTCTTCCCTGTAAGCCTGCGACACTCTGGTCACAAAGCCGAAAACAACGAATTAAAAAGTGAACCAATCACGGCAACGAAGACAAAAGACAACGCGTCATCCACAGCAAAGATCGAGCTCAAACTTCCAGGAGTTCAAATTCTGTCCACACCCATGGAAACAATCGTCGCAAAAGAGCAGAAGTCATTGTTAGACATGTAAATTCGAGAGCCCATCACCGAGCCCTTAGGCAGAGCATGCCCACATTTGTGGGCCCAAGTTGCATGGTGTGTACCTGGGATGAGTGATTGTCCCTCGCACGAAAAAGCAAGTGTACAAGCCTTTCGTACAATCTTCAGCACATCCACAAATGTTGCAGCAGCAGGCTCAATCTCCACGTAACTAGTAGACAGCTCACCGGAAACTCGCCACGATTGACCATGGAAAAATTGAAGAAAAGCACGTGCATCAGCAGAAAATGTCGTCAACAGTTGAACAGAAACAGCCTCGGATTGACTGGGCGTCCAACCAACATCAGCACTATACCGCCATCCCACGGCCATGTGGAAAACCGTCTGAAAACTTTGGTCTCATCGTGCGGTCTAAGAGGGACAATATCACCGATCGTCTGGTTGAACTTCGCACGTGCCAACTGCCGCACATCAGATTCATGGTGGAGCTGAGCAAAAAACTTTTGGCATTTATGGGAAGCAACGGAGTACGCATGTTGCGATGCGAGTTCGTCAGCCTTACGGTTGCACAGCATATCTTCACGACTCAAACCCACTTGAGATGGCCGAGAGTGGCAGATCGTCACATGCAGGTAGTCACTGTCCACCTGTTCTTGTCTGACGTGGAGTGCCACTTCACCAATCCGGCCATAACAGTGAGCAAGTGATGCACCGACTGGGGAGGTCAATAGATCTCCCTCTTTTTGGCACGTAAAATCCAATCTGGCATCAAGAACATCATTGCATTCCGTTTCCAGCTGAAAAGCCGTCCCAAACGAAATCTCCACCTCATCAACCCTCCAAAAACATGACTGCACTAACACTACTCAAATCATTCCAAAAACGTTCGCTTCTCACCTAGCAAGGGGTTGGTGAACTCCCTGTAGCTCTGAACGGCTCTCTGTTTCATGTCCACCTCAGGTGACCGACTCTCCTCGCTGTCGCTCGGTCGCTCTCTCCTCGCTGCCCTCACCGTGCGCGCCCCCGCGGCTGGGCACGCCCGGCCACCCACTTTTGCAGCAAGACCTTGTCGATGATGCATGCCCGGGTCGCAGACGTCCCAATCCCTGCCAGGTTCGGAGGTCCCAAACACCCGGGTCGCATTTGCAGGTTTTGGGGCAAAGGATGCGGAGTGGTGAGGGATGGATGCCATGTAGGCTCAAGACATGCTAATCGTCTTTTCGGAGTGTGAAGATCCTGAGTGAAAGTTCATTCTGCACTTTCTCAGGTCGCAGCCTGCGGCGACGCGCGATGTGCCCTTATCAGTGGATCCATATACCGCTAAGTAGTAGGTAGCCAGTGGTTCGAAAGACTTAAACTGTAGACTCTGGTTCCTTGTATAGTGGTGACTTGGATGCACTGGGCCGAGTCTTGCTACTAGTAACAAGTGCATCGCTAATACTAGTAACAAGTGCACTACTACTAAGTAGAACGAAGCTAGTTACTAGTAGGTATTTGAGCTGTGCCGGAAAGCTTGATAGGTTCCTATGTCGTAAGCAAGTGGGTTTATGGCATGGCTCATTTGCTACTAGTATGCCCTTGGCTTCAATTTGTTGCCTTTTTGTTCTCCCTCGAGCCCAGCGCCTGGCCTGCGCTCATGGCACCCTGCAAGTCCTCCTCCACCTGCGCTGCACCAATAAACCCAGCCAGAAGACAAAGAACAGGTGACAGATTTCAGGAAATCCAGGAGAAAAAAACAAACGCAGATCTTGTGAGGCCGGAATCGAGATTCCAAGGCTTTTGAGGGCCTCAATCAACATCAAATAGCTCAGGATATCCCATACAATCTATTCCGTATATCTCTGCGTGATACTCGCCCGGCTTCGCTTCTAATGGGCAGGTCATCAGAATTAATATTTACTGTAAAGCCAACCCAGTGGATCCCAGTTGCCACCATATAAGGAACCAGGGATTCTAGGTCTATGGTTTTAGTCTTTGGAACCACTGGTTAACAGCTATTTAGTGGTTTGCCTGGATGCCCTGGGTAATGAAACACCCCAAGCCTGGAGATGTAAAACCATTCTGGTTGGAGGATGTCGGGAGGAGTGACTCATCAGGCTGCAGGATGACTGGGTGAGTCCCTACCAACTTCTCTGAGCTGTGTGGCAAACACACTAGCTAAGCACCGGGCAGTCTTGCCACACTTCTCCATGGCCGTGAGCAAATCAGCCTCTGGCGTCATCAATGCTGGCGGCCGGCCATAACAACCATACAGCAATGACTACAACCTCTTAACATACACACACACACACATATATATATATAGAAACAAGTACAGCACATTCGCTTCCCATCGGCCAAACAGCTCCGAGACACAGAGTCCATCTCGAGCCGATTTTGGGGTGCAAAGGCCAACTTCCAACAGTTCGAAGTTGGGGTGGAGCATCAATGGGCATTCCTGTCCTCCAGGAATGAACCACCCCAACTTAGGAAACAAAGCTCGGTGAAGGATCCTCCAAAAAGATCGTTGAAGCCTTGCCCTTGACCTTTGGGTTGCGGGAACCATGGCCGGGCCAATTCGAAAGAGGACGCACACGTCCAGCCGAGTCCATGAAACAGTGCAGGTGAATCGCCATTCGTAATTACCCTCCACCGAATCGAGCACGTCTTGTTTTTCCTCCCCCGCTGGCCTGGGTGTAGCGCGGGGGAGGCTTGGTCTCCTCAAAGCAAAGGAGCGTGGGAAGGGCGGTCCAAAGTGCCATCGATCCAAAACAGACCCTGAAAACACGTGAAAATACACTCAAAAGGGTCTCAAGGATGTCATCTCGAGAGGTTGAACAGCCCTCTAGGACCTAGGACCAGGGCTCTGGGTCCGACCCCGAGCCCAGAACTCCCACCAGAAGGCTGGAACTGGAGACATCGGAATGCGCGGAGTGCCGATTCGATCCTAAACCCTCCCCAGCCGTGGTGACTTGATCAAGGGTGAGAAATTCATGGCCCCTTTGCTGGACCCCAGCTGTCAGGAGTTGAGTTTCTTGAGCCATACGAGCTGGTGAAGTTTCTTGTCTCAACCTCTGCCAAAAATGGGTCAGAATCATTCGACTCTTCTGTGCATCCAACTCTTTGGTGTGCAGCATACGAGTTCGAACTGCTGAAAAATTGTTGTGGGAGATGATTCCTTTGCCCCTATACCTTACCAATCAATCTAATTGAGTCAACATGCAATACTTTGAGGGGAGTCGACCCAGCTGTCAAAATGTTCATCTTGTATCTATACACCGGCCAGCAATCAAGCCTCAGCCCCTGCAGCCGGCAGCACTACTGGTGGACCAAACGTCTTCCAGGAATGGAGGATGCTCAGGTACTCACGCCGACGCCTGGTCTGTGACCTTCAGCTTTTCGAGCACCACCTTCGTGCCCTCAGTCTGAAGGCCGAAATGGCGGGAGCCGGCAAAATCAAGCAAGGCAAATCCAAGCCTTTCATGGGACTGGCGTATTTACCCACATTTGGGATGCTTTCAGGGGTCAATGTAGGTGCATGCATGCTCTAAAAAAACATTATATGCCAATATATTGAAAGCACAGGATCTCTCTAACCCACACCAATCTCCCAGACATCTTCCATATGAGGCGCCTTCTTCAGCAGCGAAGGCAGCTTCGGCTTCACCATTGGCTCTTTCATCTCCAAAGCCTTGAAGCCTGCCGAGCCGACGGAAACCGCCTGAACGGCCTGGCGGGTTCGAAAACCCGACGAACCACAATCAGCGATTCTGTGCCAGGGGCCAAGCAAGGCTCTCAAAGAGTGTAAGTTATCATGAGCTAAGAGGTCATGAGGTAAGTTGTGAATACACCTGCTTCAAGAGGTTAATAATGCTAATATAGATTCTTCACCACCGCAGCATGAGTAAAGAAGAACGACTTGTTTTCCTTCACATCGGACAGGTTGGATCGGATCGGGCCAGGAACCTGACGCCAACAGTCTTCACACCCTGCCCGACGTTGCGGTGGTTCCCAGTGGCTCGGTGCATCGCGGTGATTCGCGGTGCGCGGGACTGACCTGGTTCCACGAGCACTTTCTCGGAGGTGGTGAAGACGCAGTCCCGCACCTCAAATCGTCCAGCCCGTGGCTTTGTCTGAGCCCTCTGGACTGCAAGATCCCAATCGAAAAACCGAACCATTGGCACGATCCATCCAAACCTGTACCAGGACCCGCCCTCAAGGGTCTGCTTCGTCCTTTTTCTTTCAAAAAAATCCTTCCAAGGGTCCTTGGGGAGGGGGAGCATGCCGTGGACAGCAAGTGCTCTTCCTGAGATTCTTGACCAAGAATCAGGCTCGCCTCTGGTTCAGCTATAATTTCAGATTGGCACCCTTTAAGGGTTGGTGAAGTGTACCTAGGGTTGCTGGCTACGGCCTTGTAGGATGATCCTCAAGCAGACGCACGAGCTCAGGCTTCGTCAGACTTATTAAAGGAACACACAACGCAAAACAGCGCAATGCCCACTTTGCCTTCTATCATCACCAATGGCTGGCAGCCTGTGGGTCAAGCCGCCATCCTACTCTCAACATCCCTGCCCAAAAGCGCCCACATCCAAGGCACTCGAGTTTTCCGATGTTGCTGTACATACTTCGCCTCAGTCATTCGAGTGATATGCGGACTCCAGAAAACTGCAAGGGTGACCATGTAGGCCGGACTCCAACACCTGGGATCTCAACGCCTGGGTTTTGAGAGGCCAAGGTCTGTTTGGAGTGTTTAGGCACGTGTTTGGTGTTCGAAGCGTGTTCCTTGTTCCTTGGATTGCTTCAGCGGCATCCCAGTCCCCATGTTTCACCGTCCTACGCAAGGCCAACGGTTCAATAATATCCTAGAATCGGTCCCAATTGACGTGATCAAATTAACGCTTCACTGTCCAGAAAGTTACAACTTGATGTGCAGAATAATGTGTTATATATGCACATTAGTAACAAGAAGCTACTAGGGGCTCCTGGCCTATATCAGGAACATACATCCCTTTCCGAACTTCAACCGCAAGCTGCCTCTTCGGGGTTTAGTACGGGTCTAAAGCAGTACTGATATGGGCACGTATTAACATAGGGAGGCCGCCCAGTTCGACCCCTGGAAGAAGGGACATAGACCAAAACCCGTCGGTTGGGGATCTCCCTATCAAAATGCTCACCTACAATTACTCAAGATAAACACATCAAAGTAAACTTTAGAGAGCCTGAGTTTGCATTCTGTACCGGAGCGGATCGCAAGAAGCCATGATTCACCCTTCTCCAGGTCTGGTGGGTGGTTGGTTGAGGTGCCTTGATGAACCGTCCCACATTCTGAACCAGAAGTCGTTGATCAAATCAAGCAAGCTTCCGGTGGGAGGAAGGCGGCCACAAAGTGTCGCACCACTTGCCGAAGGACCTGCGCGCGGTCCGCGCGGTTGGGGCCTCGGGGGGGGTTCATCTGGACACGTACCACAGACCCGCACACGCACCCCCACCGTACACTCTGCGGTGGGTGGGCTCCGATCATGAACCTTTAGAGGGCTCACCATGAAGGCCTGCTGTTCCGCCATTGGGGCGGGACTTGAAGATAGAAAAGGATTGGTATAAAATCGAAGGATGCAACAAAGTTCACATGGGCGAGCAAAGCACTTAGGTGTTCGCCTTGAAGAAAAATCAGCAAGAGGATGCGATAGGTATATTAAGTGCGGGTCTTCTGGGATGCGCTGAGAATTTGGCTCACATCTTTGCACCACCAAAAGGTGAAGTTCACATAGAAAATCGCATGGAATCAGCTGAGCCGGCAAAAATCAGATGGAACCAGCTGAATCAGCAAACATCTAGCGGCCCCAACCACCAAACATGCAGAAGAAACACTTAATTTGTGGATCTGGTGAATTTCACCTTTCACCAGGCCGACAAAGCCAGTGGTCTGCGATCTGGCTAGAAGAATCATCGCTTAGCAGTGCAGTTTCTGCCAGTTCTGTAGTTTCTGGGGCAGCTCATATATAGGATTTGAATGGATTTGAGGTGTTTCCATGTAGTTCCCTTTCAACCCAGCACATGAGCCTGTTGGGTATTCAGATGCCCTGGCAACCTTGGTGAGATTCACTCTTTGACTCATCTTCACTCCCACTGGGCCTGGGCGTCTCGGCTTTTGGACAGCTTGGCCTGGGATGGACAGCTCACGTGGAGGAGCATGAAAAAAACCTACCTGGACTTGACTCAACGGCCAGTCGTAGAGTGCATCTATAGGTGCAAGTGATTAGTGATTTAGTTTCTCTGTGTTTTTTGGTTCATAGCCTGGTGTTCTCGTGCTTGTGTTTTTGGAGGATGTTTGCAGGGTGAAACCGCTGGCTGGCTTTGGGTCACGCCATGAACTCAACATATCTGAACATTGAACAAACCAAAGGAAACAATAAATCGGGCCCTTGGCCAACAGGAGAAATGAACCTCCTCGAAGAAGGATTAACGCCCGGGTGGCAGGCCTCGATTTTGGGTGGCATGTCGCTTGTCGGTCTGGAACTACCAAACCCATGACCAGTCGTCACCAACCCCCTCCCCAATAACGAACAAACGTCTGGGACGTTTCACACATTTCAATCCAGTTCCCCCTCCTGCACGTTTCTTCAAACCCTCCACACTCCCCTCTACTTTGCAGAACCACCCAAACCCCCCAGGTCCGCGCGGCGACGTGTCCGGGCCTTCTGGAGGCCTTTGTCCGTGGGGATGATCGCATAGTGATCCGTCACCTTCGCGTCATCAAAGATCCCCGACACGCTCGACACCTCCGCCGGGTTTTCGGGGTCCGTGGCACTGGCGGTCGTCTTGGTGCTTCGACCCGGGTGCCAGGTGGAACCGAGAAGATCGGAAGAAGAAGAGGTCTTCCAAGGGAACTGGTTTAGTTCGTGTTTGGCCGCAAAAAGCACTCCCAAGCTAGTCTGAAGTCCAAACCGGACCCAGATTCAAGTCTCTTTTCTGCAGGCTTGAGCCAAGCAGGGCTATGATGCAGAATGTCTACCATTGTCTACCGATCACCATCCCCTGACTCGACTCAGTAGAATGCTGGGGCTTCGGCTGCCTTCGAAGCAATCAGAAGTAACTCAGGGGGTATGAGACCTGGCGTCTGAAGTGGCGCTGGCGGTTGTCAATAGGGGGGCTGCCACCTCTACCTGTTTGAGGATTCTTTCCTGCTGGGGATGAAAAAAAGGCTGGTTTCTATCATCTATCCTTGGCGCGGCCCTGCAACTCCGAACCCTAAAGGTTGGGTATGACATATTCAAGGCCCTGGATGCAAACAGAAACAGCCAACAAGAACCAACAACAACCACAGCAACCACAACCACAACCACAACCACAACAACAACAACAACAACAACAACCACAACCACAACCACAACCCCAACCCCAACCCCAACCCCAACCACAACCACAACCACTTCTACTGCTACTCTTACTCCCACTCCTCACTCCTCAGCACGACGGCGACGACGACGACGACTACTACTACTACTGCTTCTGCTTCTACTTCTATTGTTGCTACTAGCACTTGTACTTGCATAAGAAGCAAGTGCAATTCACCACCCATAAATGGAATATAGTTATACATGACATACTGGATGTTGTGGGGTTATGCTGTATTTTCCTCCGTGGGGTGGGGGGGTAGGGATTTGCCAAAATCCATAGCCTGCTTTGATCCACCTTCCTCCCCCAAACCATCAGCCCATCATGATCGACCCTCCCCGCCCCTGATTGATCCATCATCAACACACCACACCTTCCTCTTGCTCCGCGGCCGATTTCAGCATGCCGCGCACGACGCTCTGGTGGTCGCTGGGCAGGCAACGGCTATCCGTGCGCGGGTAGGTCACCATCTCCGACTCATAGAGCTTCTGCACCTCTGGTGAGTCGGAAACGACCTGGTTGGGCAGGGTGGTGGGGTTTGAAGGCGGTGTGCCCGGGCGCGCCGCGATTTTGGAGTGTGGAGAAATGGGACTGCACTGAAACAAGGGTGAAATGGCCTGCGGCCTTTCATCAAAAATACATACGTATAAATGGAACCACAAGTGCACATATATCGTTTATAATTCGATAGAAGTTTCTCATAATATATATATATATATTGATGTCATTCGATGAGTCCACTGAGATGGGGTCGTGGACTGTGCCTTCGACGCGCGGGTCGCAGGCTGAGCTCCACGCGCTCTGCAGGGTGGCGGAAGGAGACATCCCGAAAAGCCTGGCACGTCGCGTCGCCGACGCGCGCGTAACGCGGAGGGTCGGCACTTCCGCCGGAGGGTCGGCACCCGGAAGAACACAGAAATCATGACAGCCTTTGGATGTTGTTCCGTTCCTGTAAGCCCCGGCATAGAGGTTTGCAAGACCTCCACCAAGGGTATCCCTGCTTGTTCATCTGAAAAGGCCATGGAGAAACACTGGCAGCAGGTGCTCATTTGAGAAGGTGGGTAGAAGCATTGCAGTCGGTATCTGATCCTGACCCATCCAAGTTTAAAAAAACTGTTCACGATAACATAGCATAAAATAGCTATTTAGCGCCAATAAGCAGCACCCAGCTTGAAGAAAAGCAAGGTTGAATACTTTAAATTTATGGATTCATGTAGTGCATCTTTCAAGGTGCCCACACTGCAGCCACCAAGACAGACTAAAGTTATATAAAGGCCGACTGTCCGACCACTGACTGTATAGGACATCTCGGCGTCAAAGCCTTTCTACACCGGGATGCCTCGAGCAAGTTCGTTGTAAATCAGCCAGGTTCATCAAAGGCTGTGGCTTTTCAAAGCACTTTGCGCTCTTGTCCTCGATGAACATTCGTCAAGGACAAAAGGTCGACATGGTGACAACCCGGAGATCGCGTCCACGTGGATTGTTGGATTTCCAACTTTAGAGACAGAGGTTGAAGGACCCTATAGACTATCCCATAGGTACCCCAGGCTACAGGTCCTATAAGGTCACTTAACCCCTCTTGGTAGAGACAGATTCAGGTGACAACCACATGATCCCACTCATTAACTGATCAAAAGAACCAGTACCACCACCTGCTTCTTCGAGCGGGAGCACGAGGAATACCTTTCAGGGGCCTTTCGCCAAAGGCAAAAACAGTAACAAGATGTAACTAGTGTAAGAGCAGCTTCACCATCCTCCAGCCTCGCGCTTTCCCGAAAGGGTCCCCAAATCCGCCATCAAGGTCCCAGATTTGGGGCACTTGACCCATGTCAACCACGCCTGAGACAAGCCCTGCGCAGTCCCTAAGAAGCCCCGCTTCGTGGCGCTCACGCGGACCCAATCGCACCACCGGCGCTGCCCGAGCGGGCGCCGCCCACGGGCGCAGCACCGCAAGGACGAGACCGTCCTCCAAAACGACGCCCTCCAGGCCGATCCAGTCTTCACGGGTGGCGTGGAAGTCAATCGCGTGGGCCTGGTCGGAGCCCCAAAAAGGAGTAGGACGTAGGAGCCCTGGCTCCATCCATCAGAAAGATGGGATGTCCACCAACATCCTCCAGTTGAATCCTTTTTGGAGGGTAGTAAGGTTCAAGGCATATGGAGTTCTGGAACAACCCATGGCCATGGAGCAAACAAAATGCAACAAGCTCTCCCTAGCGTACGCCCATAGGCGAAACTTTATATTTTCGAGAGCCTTAAGGGCCCAACAAAGCGAGCCTACTGTACTAGTAATGACTGTGAGGTTGAAATCCCTACCTCACAGCCCAAACTCAAGATCTGTTGACCCAAGACAAGGGGTCAGCTACCCACAGCTACAGCAGATCTTTCGACCCATCAGGGCGCCCGTCACACGTGCCCATCCCGCATCCGTCCCCAGCCATCCAGCCTGATGGAGAGTGGAGTGTTTTCCCTCATAGGCGTCACCATCCTCTGTGCGGAAGGTCGCTTTGACTTCTTGATACCTGGGCGATGGGCGACGCTCGGTTGCTTCACCACCAACGGCGGCGGAAGAACCCGATCGTTCGACGATCCCAGTTGGTGCCAGGAATGGTGCGAGTTCAGGTCACGTTCCACCTCTCTTGGAGTCCCCATTCCTTGGCGTCCTTCCAGGCTGGGAGGGTTTTCCAGACCCACCATTGATCCGAACAATCTTGTTTGCTGTGGGTCAAGCTCAGCCGAGGCAGGCGCGAGGCAAGGCCTTACGAGATAGAAGAGACAACAACTCGCTATAACCATAAATGTATAAAATGAGATCCAAAACAAAATGAGATCCTACATGATCTCACTGGTCACATCGAAGCCCAAGATCCGACCGCCAAGCTGCGGGACAGGCTTGAATTTCTCAATCTCCTAGCTGGGATGAAGGTCAGGACCCCGAACCCCAATTATTGGATGTTTCTGCTAGTAGCAGGTGCATATAGCTACTAGAAAAAAGGGCATTACTACTAGTAGCTAGAAGCTACTAATTAGTAACTAAGGGCATCGCTACATACGTATATAGCTTGATTCTTTCGAGTGGAGGACGTCTTCTCGATCCAAGTCGGTGGAACATGGGGCCGCAAGGCGTCTAACGCGTTGACCTCCTGGCCGAACTCGCAGCGCCGAAGGGCCAAATATCCAACGTTCGTTGAGCTCCGGAAGTGCCACATGGCACTTGGTCGGTCCGGGCGAACGGTTCCAAGTTGGCACTGCAAGAAAAGGAAGGAATGCAGTTCATGTATGGGATATATATATATGCCTACATTGACCCCCTTAAACCAACCCAATGTAGGACGTGTAAGAACATATTATATGGAGTGTCTGGGTACAATGAGTTGGCCTGTCTGATGCTTCCCTTGACTCCCCTTAAAGGTGCTTCAATGCACCACCCTCTTCTCCCCTCGCCGGTCGTCTGCCTCTTCACGCTGGACCACCAGAAGCAAGGTAGGAGTCATGACTCGTCCCACGCTGCACTTCCAAGGTAGCCACTTGCCTTAGAATTCCTGGACTACTTGGTGGTTTCAACTCGCTTGACAAAATAGGAGTCAGTGGGAACAATCACCCCAAGTAAAGGATGAACATGGATGAAATTTATGAAACTTGATGACATTCAAAAAACAGTTATATAATTTTTGAAACCAGTTGAAACCACCACTTGCCTTTGTTAGCGGTAAATCACCACAGGAGGCACATCATCACGCACCCACTTGATGTCATGGGAGGGAGGCTTTGGCGAACCAAACTGGGGGCTAAAGCACCGTTTATTATGCTGGATGCCCGCCGCTTGCGCCCGCTTGTGCCCACACACCCCAGTTGTGCATGCTTCTTCACACTGTCATGCCATGCTCATCAGGCCAAACGATCATGCGACGATGCGACGAGTGGAGGCGAGACCTGAAGCGCACCCTCAAGAGGAAACAACCAAATACGGTGGTTTCTGTTTCAACTCACTTGAAAATTGCAACATACACCCTGGAAGACTACTAACATGGACCCTGAAAACCACTGGTTGGTAGAGGAAAAGAACCTTCCAGGGCGCCAGGACGTCAGGGTCTATGTGAGTTTTCGGGAGTGTAAATAGTGGTCAGTGCGATCCATCATCCGTACAGGTTGAACCAAATACCTGAAACCACCACCCCAAACGAGCAGGGGTCACTCCCATTGGTGCACAACCCTTCAAGAAGAATGAACACAAATTGGGTCGATCCAAGCCTTCCACCCCCTTGATGAATCTTGTTGATGTGCACCATCTGTCTGAACCCTGGAGTTGGTTCCCCCCCAACTTCGCCGAACCCTCCGCGCCGAACCCTCCGCGCCGAACCCAGTCGTCCAGGGAGCTTTTCCGCAAAACGGCGGTGCCATTGATGCCCACAAGCCAGTCCCAGCGCGCCCTGCCCACATTCCGGCCCAGGTCCGGCAGGTCAGTCTAGAACCGCCGCTTGGGTCATGGCACCGCATTCCGGTGGGCCCTGAACATGAAGAAAATCACAACCAGCGGTCACATGTCGGGGTGCTATCCATGGAGGTAGTCGGGGTGCCCCTGTCACATACACTCACCGGATGGGACGAGCCACACCACCCCAAGCCCTGTGACTGCTGGAGCCAATCTCCGTGTCAAGGGATGTCAAGCTCCCAAGGTGCGTCAAGGCGACCGTCAGGGATGTCAGGTGCGGGACGGTTGGGTGCGTCACGGAGACCCTTGGTGTTGCTCGTCTCTGGATCTCTTGGCTTCTGTCTGAGTCCCATGATTCGAGGCTCCGAGGTGTTCACTGTAAATCCGCCTGGGTGGGGCAGGGACACCAGTGGACATCCGTCTGGAACGGTGGCCTGTAAACCACCAGTACCCTGCGTGAACTTTGGCACTAGCCTTGATGATCAAACCATACCAAAACACCAAGTAATGTAGGAGCACCGAGTTGCACAGCCCAATTCCATTTCCTGCAGGGGCCAAAGCCTGCAGTCGGCAGCATCCGCAAGGTTGTCGTATTCCTCTCCTGCGTGGTTGGTCTGACCGTTTTTCCATGGCACCAAGCATTGGAACAGGGGAATGTCTATCAATCACCGGGAGTTCCAAGCATGACTAGGCGTATCTCCGGCCTGGACGGCAGCTATCCATGGCAAGGCGGATCGCCGCAGCGGTCAAGGATTGAAGCCAAAGCCTGGCCCGGCGCTGCGATCGGACCGGGGGTGGCGTGTCTTTTCAGTTCGTGAGGATGTTGGGTGAAACAACACGCAAGGTTGGGGAATTGGATTGGCCAGATCTTGAGGCGGGTGATGCCAGAGGTTCCGAACATTTGGCAACGTTCAGGAAAAGGACACTTGCGTAGGTCGTAGGTTGGCGGTTTGGAGGTGATTCACAGGATCGTTCAATCTGGAGATCGGTCGATGTTGCCCCGGGCGTTGGATATTCAAACATCGAAGAAGCATCCTGAACATAACAAATGGACGTGAAGGACCATTTTTATCGTATCTAAGATAGAAGATAGATAAATAGATAGATAAATAGATATATAGATATCGAATGGTATTGCCCCATGTCAGAGCTTCGTCTGCACCGTGGTTGTCACACCTGTGGTGTGACCACTGGAGCCATTGGAACATCCAGGAGTTGCCACCCTGAAGCAAGCGACCTTACCGCCGCCTTGCAAAAAGTGAGTGCCGCAGTGCCTCTCAAAGGGCATCTTCTCGAGATCCAGGAATTTTTGGATGCGCCTAGAAAAGGCCGTTCTGTCCCGATAAAAATCATCTTCGGTGGAAAAGCTGGGCATCGTAGGAATGAAGGGAGCTCAAGACCACTTGGCGCTGCGCCTAAAAATCAGCTCACCCTCTCTGCCAGCATCACACCTAGGCGGTCTGTCATTGTTGGGAATGGTCAAGAGTCAAGAGTCAGTTTGCTTCCATCGTGTTGACGTGCCTGAAGTGCAGCAGCACCACCATCACCACCAACAACAACAGAATAGAGTTCTGCCATATTCCACAGCATGCTCAAAGGAAGCTGGTCCAAACCCACGAAGTTCCCTTCCTTGTCTAAGCATGTGGAAAGAGACAGTGGACCAGTCGGACCCCGTCAGGCAGCGAACATGGCAGTCCACGTGGCAGTCCAGCACATCTTGTTTAGAACCTTCACCGCTCATACCATCAGACCCACAGCAATGGCCACAAATCTGGATCATGGCTGATCAGCCGTTGAAGGCATCACCTCAAACAAATCAAAGGTGTGGACGTGTTTTTGGGGGTTTCAACTCATTGATCTCCCGCGATGCTCCCAGAACCCAGCGATCTCAGCGTCCCAAGCGACACGTTCACGAGGACCTGGGCATGCCTCGCCAGCCTTCTGATCCTCAACCAGCGGGAGACCCCAGCAATGGCCCAAATCAATGAACATCTATGGCATTCAAAACGCATCATTCACATCGCACAATGATCAGAATCATGGACCCGTCTGCATCAATCTACCCCAAAACACGTGCTGTACGTTACATGGTATCGTTTTTGGTGGATCTCAGGAAAGGGTGAGGGGGCCCTTTCCTGAGTGCTTGGAACATCTACCTTGGACGTCCGTGGGCTCAGTTTCTATCGCTTTGGGCGCAGCTACGCCATGAGTTCCACAGCAGCTGGTCACTAGCCCAACTTTGGAACCCCTGGTTTGCGGGTTGTAGTTTCGTGCCTAGAAAACGAGTGGGAGCTGGCGAGGGGTTCTTACATGTGCATCAAAAGGATTCAAGAGGCACAGTCAACCTGCTTCAAACTGAAGGTAGCTGACTCATGCTTCTCGAGAACAGCAAAATAGACCGTCTAAACATTTCTAATACGTTTCGTGATGTTTACCAGGCCAAAGAGACCTCCACAGTGATCAGTAGAGCACTGAAACCTCCAGGCATGGATGCCCTACCCTCGCTCTGCTTCTTCGTGCACTGAGGACGGGACTCTGCTAAGTAGGAATCTTTTCCCTTCTGCACCTGAGACGACTGGACAGCGGACAGTCATGGACTGCAAGCGAAGTCCGGGCACAAAAAGAAAAACCCTCCGTGGCTACGCCGTGGCTAGGCCCCGGATGTAGCTCTGATGCCGAAACCGTGCGGAAACTGTGAGCTTCAAAGATTGGTTCCGCAATGAAACCACCAGAAACCTCCAGCAAATGCTTGGCAAAGAGTCAGGCAGTCAGGCCAAAACCAAAGGCTATCTTCATCTCTTGCATTGTGCTATTCGATTCCAGTTTCGATTCAAGACCTCCAGCCGTGAAGAATGATGTTTCCTTCACCAACTGTATCAACATGTTGCACCACTTGCTCCAGTGGTCGACCGATGCACCACCTCCGCGCTGACCGCGTGGGGTTCCCACCTCCCCTTGCTCCGGGGTACGGAGGGTTGAGACCCCCCCTGGGGGGGGAGACCTGTGACCTGGACACAGGGCACCTCCAGATCAAAGGCCGGGAACATCGGCAACTTCGTGATCCAGGGCAAGGACTGGAGCGAAGTCGGAGACCACGCCGAGATGGGCGAGGGTTTTGGAAGGGCTTGGAAGGAGAGTCGGAGAGAGGGATAGAGCAAGACGGTCATGGACGGTTTGAGATGTCTGAGGTGGTCAACAAACTCTTGAAGTCTTGGTTTGCTTTATGTTTATGCCAGCCTTATCTCATAGACCCAGCGTGTGGATCTTGATGACATCAGGTAGCTGGCTCAGAAACTCTTCCCCGTAGTTAGATCCCCCAGAAGAAAACTCCGACTCTAACACAACACCTTGAGCAACTTCTAGGACCTGTAAATCACTTGTTGACCACTGTTTTCGGTGGTGGGCTGCTGGAAGCGGAGGTCTGTTTCGTTCGCCAAGGAAGGGAAGACATTGGAGCCCCTCTTGCAGGTTCAAGGGTCCAATCCGAGCAACGCATATAAGCAAGATATCAAAGCCAGAATTGACTGCTGATTCTGATTCTGACACATGGCCACTTCTGTGCTCTCTCACTGCGAAATGATTTTCCAGCTCTTGAAGACTAGCTGCTAGCTCATCATTTGAGCACCTACCTACCCCTGAATGCAAAGTGTCCTTGTGTTGCAGCAAATGGCCACAAGCGCTGGTGATGATCAAGTCTTTCCCCTCGAAGTGGCCTTTCGCAGCCTGGCCAAATGAGAAGTCTGCCACACAGCCTAGACCCAGTGAGTGCATGGACAGCATTGCAAAAATTGTGCAGCGGCTCCAGAGTAGATTGCAGAAAAAGAACAAACATGCCCTTAGATCGGGATCCATCCAAACTGCCATCAATCCACTACATTAGACCCACTGTAAGTACATAGCAACCCAGGGGTGCAAGAGTTCCTTCATTAAGCCTTGCTGATTTACAAACCAATGCTACAGCGATGTGGCAAAGATCGAGCTCATGATGTGTATATATATATATATATCATCCATGTCATTGATCTGACCTTTCTGCGAACAGTTCCCCAACCAACGAAGCCATCCTAGACCTGTTGCCATCATAAGCATCGTTCAGTTTTGAATGGTTATAGGGTATCCCCCAACAAATTCCTGTGGAAGCATGTAGGAACCTCATGCAGCTTCATGAAGTCACACTCTTCCCACTCAGCTTTCTGCTAGCCGTCATGGTACCGTGTCCAGTGATCTCAGTGGGTTTCCCACAGGCTCACTTGTTTTGGTCCCAGCCATCTTTCAAAAGCTTTTGGGGCCTAGTTTACTTAGTAAAAAGGTTCTTTCAAAAGCTAATGGCAGGTTCAAGTATCTGCTCCAGCAGAGCCAACATCCCCAAACCATCCCAAACTGGCAGCTATATACAATGCTAAACATACCCTTCCCCGGGGACTCCCTTTGGGCTTTGGCCCGGCAGCGCTGTCGAGCTCTGCCTTTGGAATCTTCAGGGCCGCTGCGATCTGCTGGGCCACCCTGAGCAGCTCAAAACGAAGGAGAGACGCCACTCACCCGGTCCCACAAGAAGGCGGCAACCAGGCGGGTGAAGACTGGGACATGAGCCCAGTACTGAGCCCAGTCTTGTGAAGCTTCGAAGGGCCGACTCCGAAGCCCAATTCTTCGCTAATGGCAGGTTCACCGAACTGTTCACCTGTTCTTTTGGCAGTCTATAATTTAATGCATGATTCATTCATTTTAATTCATTCTTTACAGATTTTGGCTACTACAAAAAATAACAAGATATAATGCCAAAATCTGATAATAAAGAATGACAATAATCGGCAAACATATTATCTCCTATATATTTTTGCTCCTTATATTCATGCTTTTATTATTTGCAAATGATGAATTTTATTGTCTCTTAGGATTTTTCCTTTTCATTAAGAGATTTCTACCGGAAAAATCCTCAATCATAAGCTGTGTCTAAGGTGGGTCAACCGCCAGGCCAAGAGCAGGGGGCCCCAGATCCAAGCCGAAAAAAAGTGATTGAAACCCGGCTCCGGTCGCACCTTCTAAGAAGATGTTTGGGATGGGTGCCAGGAGGGTCCAGTCATACCGAACCTGAGGAGGTACGACTGGAGTCCTAGGGAAAAGAATGTGTGCCCCAGACTCCCCTCAGGTGCCCATGAGATGTTCTTTCACCCGACATCGGGAAAGAGGGTGGTCAGGTGGTGCCAGAGTTGGCAACAGGGTCATGAGCCAGCGCGCGCACACGGCCAATCGCAGAATGAACGAGAAGTGCCAGGAAGTACCAAAATGTCCCAGGAAGTCCCTTGATGCATCTTGATGTCCAGGCGGTGCACACAGGGAAGCGGTGCTTGCATAAGACCTTCAGAAAGGAGTTGCAGTTGGTTGGGGGCTTTATATAGGCTTTTGTGAAGCCTGGGAGGTCCCAACATGGGCCACCTCCATGGGAATCATCCATGGGTGCAACAAAAGGGGGCCTTTCAACCATGAAGTGCAACGGCACAAGTGCGCTATGTGGTCTATTACTCCCTCTCCCTCCCTCCCACTCTCTCTCTCTCTCTCTTAATTTGCCCTGGCTAAGTTCTGGGGGGACTTAGGAACACACGAAGCATTCCCTTCTCCTGACGCGCGTCGCCTTCAGGACATTGCCAACAGCGTTGAGGACATTCAAACACTTCCATCTTCCAGGACAAGTTTGGTTCGTTCGTTGCCCAGGGATGGAAGGTGGGAATAGATGAACATGCACCCTGGGAGGGCAACATGCATCAACGTCCAGTAGGAGAAAGCGTCAATGACAGGTGCTTGTGTTGTGTCGAGACAGCCAGTTCCAAGGCTTTTGTAAAGAATTGAGCCGACGTCTTCTTCCGCTTCTTCCATGGCCGCAGCTTTGTTGAACGTTGTGTTTCTCTTCCTCCTTGTCACGTAAACGCCCTCTCATCCCTCCTCTCCAGTGCCATCGGAGTTTCTGCCAATGATATCCGGCAAACTCACCTGGAACCATATAATAACCTGAGAATTGACCCGTGCTTTCGACCATTTTCCTCTACAACTAAGTGGGTTTGGGGTTCCATGCGCTCCGGGGAAGGGGGGTAGAACTTCGGTGCCGAACGCAGCCACCCGAACTGGGCTCCCCAGCTTCGGCTTCTCCGCAATCACCAGCTTTTTCAGCGCCCTCAACGCTGTAGCGGCGACCGTGCCCCGACCTCGGGAAAGGTGCGAAGCGCACGACAGGTCTGTCCGTAACTATCCTGATCCTCGCCCTGGTTCTCCGTTTCCCCTTGGCCCACCACCGAGCATGGACCAAAGTGTGGCATGGGGCCCACGGCGGCTCCGGCTCGGCGCTGCGCGCGGCCGGTCCTGACAACGCTTCTCTTCGTGCCACATCGCCGTCTCGACCGTCTCGTCCGGGGATGTGAAACCATGTGGACCTGAAAGGACACACCATTGAAAGGGCCCCGTTCAGGTCCGGTGTGCGATCTGGGTGAATTTCCCCAGTAATCCCCAGTAGCTTTTTTAAGCTCCACCTCGAGGCCCACAAGCAGTGTATCCAGAATTGGTAGAGATTCAATGATTTGACGTTCTGAACTTCATCCATAGTATACACATATCACATCATTCTCCACAATCTTTGTTAACACTGTCGACTCGACTCTCCCGGACGATCGGCCTTGGGCGCCCTCGAGACGATCGGCCTCACGTCCGGACGGTCTTCGGCTCTCCCGAGCGTCGATGCAGGGCAGGGCCGATCGAACGGGATGTGGTGACTTTCAAAAAGGGCCGCCCAATGCCACCAAACAGGGCGCTTTTGAGATCACGAACTTCATGGACGTCGGGCATCGTGTAGCTGTGGCGCTGTGGCGGGTGAAACAAACACTGGGATGAGTCAAGTCCTTTACAGAGTCTACTGCCACCGCAGAATGTCAGCTATACTCTGAGACATGAAAGTCACCCCTCAGGATGATATCCATGATTATTCATGTGGCATCTTCCGAAACAAACATCTACCATGATCTACCCTCTCTCAAGCACCATGATGAATGTTTCTACGTCCTTCTACGGATCCTACTGCGTTCAAGCGTCCTTCCAAACAAATTCCGCTTTCTCACGCAGTGATCGGCATCAATCTACATCCCCTGCCGCCCAATCCCACAGAAGAACCCCTCGAAGCACCCACGAAAAAATCGCAGGAACCCAACCTGCACTGGACAGGATTGGCAGAACTTGGCCCCAACCAAGTTTGCATCATGGCTGCGAAACAAACGATAACTCGATCAGGAAAATGTATACCGGTGAACTCAGCCTGGAGTTGTCTGGTCGGACATGAGAATGCTTGTTTGTTCTCTTAGTCAGAGCGTTCTTTGATGGTTGTGCTCCGCTTCTACAGGTCTTGTTGCTTGCCAGAATTCATTGAATCAAGTCTCCTCCGTCCCCCAAAGCCGCTTATAGCTGCGGGTGGCCAAGCGGGGGCCTAGAATGTACACATCAGAACTGGAAATAAGTAGTGGCAAGGGGTCAGGGAAGTCCCTGACTCGAGATCTCTATTAATTGGGACACAAGGCACCGAGCATACACCTCCCCAATCCACTCCTCGAAGGTGGTTTCCAAAAAACTCGCTGGAGCATGTTGGAGCCCCGCCATGGGAAATGGCTTGCTACCGTCGCCGTTTTGGTTGTTAAGGTAGACTCTTGATGAATAGATAGACCCACCCCATTTGGATTGAAACGCCTCTGAATGACTAAGTCAATATAGCCTCAATCAAAAACCAAATCCCTAGGAACATGCTCTCTACCGGTTCTATAGTGGTCAGCAAAACTTCACCGTGCTCTTCATTTTCTGATTCCGAGTCACAGTCGCTGGATGATGCCCTCAAATCAATCACCAGTAACATGAAACGTCCTCAACTCCCAGTCACTCGAAGGATGAAACATGAAACCACATCTGGTCATCTGGTCGTCTCACTCTCCACCCCAGCTGCTTTGGAGTCCCCTCACTGAGCTCCACCCCTCAGCTGCCAGGCCCTTCCCTCGATCTGCAGGGCCATGGCGGGATCCCAGGCTGACGCCTCGGTGATGCTCGCGGCCCAGGCCGCGCTGGACTTCGTCAGGTAACTCGTCTGGACCCCTTCGTAACTCGTCTTAGACTGGAAAATCACTGAACCATGGAAAACCTCCCAACTCCCCATTTACATCACTATAAGTGGTTGGGACTGGGGAATGGGGAGATTTCCAGTTGTTTCTGGTTGACGGGGTTTCCAGGGTTCAGTGATAAGTGCTGACCTGTGGCCAACACTTGGTTTCCAAGCCTTTTGAGCCTTTGGTGAATCGTCGCTGGTTTCCGAGCGGTGCATCCGTGCAAGAACGACCCGAAAAGTTGCAAGAAAACATATTGAAAACCGACACATTTGCCATGCATTTGTAACTTGCTATTGAGGAAGAGGCTCCTCTCCCCACAACGAGTCACATTGTTGGTTGTAGCCTTGCAAAGTCATCTGGGCCCTTGCCAATGCCAAGCATCAAGCAGTTCGAACCTTTTAAGGTCTCCACACTCAGGAAACCAGTTTCTGAAGCATAGCTTCCGCCTAGGTCAAGTTCGAAACACGTAATTTTTCTTCAGAAAGTGGGCTGACAAGCCTGGTCGGGCCATCAAGACACTAACCCGAGAACAAACGTCATCATGTTCTGCGATTGTATATTGATGAGTTAAACGTCACATCTATAGACAAACATAAACAAAACAAAACATGGTGTTCTAGAAGGCAAACATGACAAACCTAGTTCCATAGCCAAAAAGCTCCATGCGTGTCACGTGAGGCTCCATTGCCCCTGGCGGCTGTGCAACTCCACGGCTAAGGTGACCTTGGGAGGCTCTCCCCACCCGCGAAACTGACGGAGCCGGGCGCCGCAGAGAACGGCAGAGCGTATTTTGTTCCTCTTCGGGCGTTCGAAGGAGAAGGGCCTTTCATGTAGACTCTTGATTATATAAACTCCCCACATCAAGAGGCCCACATGGAGGGAGGTGTTCAATCAAGAGTCTGCATTAGGTCTTTTGATGGTGACCATCCCTTGCGGTTCCTTTTGCTGAGTTCCGAAACTCCCGCCACAGATCGCCCTCGACTCGAAGGGTTTCATAGACTCGATCGGCCAAGAAGGGCCGGGTTTCGCCAGATCTTCACCACGGATTCGCCCCACTTTTGAGGGCCAAAAGGTGGATGGATGGAGGCTACAGTTTGGCCTACCACCGGGGAACCCCTTCAGGACCCATCTGGCCGAAGCATTCCTCTCCTGTCACAGTGAGGATCTTGTTCGCGAGTGAAACACCAAGGCGCCGTCAATTGATCTCGTGAGGGTTCAGGCAAAAGGATGTCGCCCGCAAAGGGCGCCGTCGAACACCTGCGTGCTACTCGATCGAGTCTTGGTGCGAATGAGAGCAGTGTGAGTAAAAACTGTGCCCTCTGGATCTTCATCTTGCACATGGAAAGCTCAGCCGAATGTGATTAGTATTGAATCAAAAGTCCTACTGGATCCTTTGACCTAGAATGTGCGGTGACAGTACAGCAACCAACCAACATGGATAATCTCAGCTTCAAAGATTCTTTCCTGGCATGGTTGGCATATCTTGGCTATGGTGCTACGAACCCAAGCCCGCTTTTAGCTCAAGGCTTCCAGTGTCTTCAGTCAGACATCTATGAATAAAGATCCTTTAAGTCACCAATCCTTTTCTTGCTCGTCACCCGCGAACGAACACCTGCTTTCCAGCACTCCTCTCCCCTGGCAGGAACTCGCTGCCCGAGAGTCGTACGCCCCACCGACCTCGCGCTCCGACTCGCCCCAGAGGAGGCCGCATCCACACCAATCTGGCGAGTCTCTAAGAGCAAACGCCCCTGCGCCGAGGCTAAGGTGATCTCCTACGGCGGTGGGTTTCGGCGACCGTGGCCTTGGATTGGCGGAGCCCGGAAACAGATTCGCCAGGTTTGGTGATACCCAGTTCGGGAAAATACACAAATGATCTTAATTAAGCAAAACCAGGTCCAGAAGGCCGGATCTCCTATGCCAATCTGAGTGGGGATTGCCCTGGAGGCAGTGCCCTATAGAGAGACCTTGGAGTTCCCTCTCTGCAAGCCATCAAGACCGGGGAAGCTCCAAGACGAAGCGGCACGTCACCAGAACCAGGAGCGTACCAGCTCATGTATGATGGGCGAGAACATGAAACATTTGAGACATGTGTCGTGTTCACGTTTCCGCCGCTGTCCGCGGACACCGGCGGTCATGCAGCCACACGACCACCCTCGACCACCTCCGTTCTTCCGGCTACTTTAGGTCTCGATCCTGCAATCAGCTTGCTATTCAGACTGGCCTGGATGAAGCTCACCAACCGAACACTCACGGGTCAAGCAAGCCAATCCTCACCTACAACCTGCTTCTGGCCAACAAGTACTTGTGCCTTTGTGTGGAATGGGGTTGGGGTGGGGAGCGCACCTTTCTTCACACAAACTTCACAGATCAGCTCCCACCCTCCACTACCGAAGCTGCTCTGGGTCCTCTGGATGGCTGGAGGAGGGTGTCCGCAGAGTGTCCTGCGAAGCGCGTGGATCGTAGCTAGCTGAATTCCAATGAACCATGCAAGTCACGCTTGGATCGGATCAACGGGCCCCTCTGTGGGCCAGGGGCCCCATGATCCATCATGGTCCATAGTCATTGAAAAGAGGGCATTGATCCTTCAGCTGCTGCCCCTGTCTTCCCACGCTGGGACATCCCGTCGCCCAGGGCGCGCCCTACAGCGCGCTGTCCTGCCACCTTCGCCACGCCAGGCGGCCGAAAACTTGGGTCCTAAGTGGCTAAGAGGTGATGGAGGGACATATGTATGTGTGTGTGTGTGAGCCAGTGAGTGAGTCAGTCAGTCAGCAAGTCAGTCAGTGAGTGAGTACCCAAACCCTCCCTCCTGTGAAACGTTTCACGCTTTTGGATGCCCAAAAGTCGTTTTGAAAGCTCAGTTTCTCCAGCCTGGGCAGTTGCACACTCACCTGTGCCAGCTCCAGGGCCTCAGAACCGCCGTCCTAGTTGGTCAAAGAGGTTGCCAAATCGATTAATGAATCCGGAACTTCTCATGAATCCAGATTGTCAAGAACAAACATGAAAGCCACAGTTTACCGTATCAATAGTTGGATTTTCACGATGGTGTTGAAGTTCCTGCCTCCACGGTTTCACATACATCCTACTTAGACTTATACATAGCTAGTTTCTTGAAGAGGGCTACTTCTTGCAAAAGGAAAACATCTGATCAATCAAAGCATCCAAACAATGGGATCAGTGAAACGCCCCTGAGGAAAGAGCAAATGTCCACTGATTGAAGCACCACAACAAGGGAAAAGTCATCGAAAGTCTGCATGTTTTGCCGGTAGAACGAGAAGTGGAATCCAAACGAGGGAAAAACTTGATAGAAAACCATCAACAACCCAAAGTTCCAAAAAAGGCGTTGAATCATGTTGAATCTTTAAATGATGTATGGAATCAATTGGAATTAACATGAATTAACTATAATATATATATATAGGTATTCATTAGTTGCTTTTTGGGGTAAAGGCATGGACCTAAGCCGCCCCTATGGCCTACGGATTCAACCTCATCCCCGCCACAGGACCCGCCGCTGTGCCTCTCGCGCGGCGATCTGCGCCACGGGCGGCTGGCCCAGCGAAGCCAAGTGTAGCGCGGTGGCCCAGGCGACTGCCGAGGCACAAGCCTCCAGCTGGGAGCGAAAACGCCCCGAGCAGCCCGTGGTGTCCGGAAAGAAAAGCAAAAACAACATGGTACTGTAGATCAATGGTATATCAAAGAATGACAACTCCATGCAAGTTGGATCTCCCAAATCCATGCAGGAATTGAATTGTAACTGGTGTTTCCCATCAGTTTCAGGTGCGTAAAGTTTGGGACATGCAACATCTGAACTGGACCTAAGTGAAAACCTTGGAAGAGCAGTTGGGATGTGTGAATGGTTTGGATTTTGTGTGATTTTGCCTACTCCCCTGGAGCTAACATGAGCTAACATTAAAGTGGGCAACCCCCTTAGAGAAACAATGGTCTTCCAGGAGCCATTGTCCACTTCCATGATTGTTGCAGGGAGTGTTTATACCTCCACCTGCCTGCATTCTCCTGAGTTGGAGGAGTTTGGCCAGCTAAGCCGGGCCCCCCCCCCGTCCCACCTCGGCCACCGCCGCACAGGTGACCCGATCCGCCAATGCCGGTTCTCGCATGGCGGACGCCAGCAGCGCCAAGCAACGGTCCTTACAGGCCCCCGCCCCGCATGGGGACCCTGGACCTCCAAGCTCGCCTTGCTCAGAGGCCAGGTGCAGTCAACAGGCACATCCAGTGACTATAAGAAATAGAGTCTAACATCATAAGAGCTTAGTACAAGTAGCGTACCCACTGATGTGCCTATGTACAACGAATATGTACGATGGGATTCATGCAACTGGTCCATCGTAGCGATGCCCAAGGCCTGCTTCTTCACCAGCGGCCCAGCGGTCGAAAAAATACGGGTCTGTCCACCTAAACGAGGTTCCCATTGCCATCCCTTCTCGCAACTGCTCACGGTGGCATTGATCAAGACCGTGTCAACTGGCCAGTCCTCGGGGGACGGGAAGGCTATCCAGCGCAACCCAAACAGGTGGCATGATCTGGCATGTGCTAGAAGGAACTATCACAAGTAGCCTTAAAGTCCTGTTGAACCCATGAACTGCATCTATATGTTCTGTTTTTGCCACTTTGCAAGGCCCAAGTCTGCCCAGTTTGCGGATGCTTTAGGCACCTGCCCTAGATCCTGATGCCAGTCTCCACTCAGCCCTTCATCGATCTGCCGGGATCCTGACATCCACTCAACCCAGCCACCCGGCCAGCGCGAGACATCAACCCCAAAGCAGTTTCCCAGGCAGTGCCTAGCTCACAGGCACTGACCTCAGCCGCTAAGCCCAGCTCCAAAGCCACGGATCGGGCCACGTGCCGGGGGAAGAGCCAACCTTTGAAGAACAACTTCCACATCTTTAGTCTCTTTAGTTCTCTTACCACATGGGTCTTTAGCACCTCAAGGCTTCAACGCCAAGAAGAACCTCCAAAAAGCTGACCAGCTGGTTTAAAGGCAACCTTTTCGCCTGGTCTAAGGCAACGTTTTCACCCAGCTCCCACCCCCATCGCTTCCGTCCAGAGCACGGCGGCACCAAAGGAGGTCAAGGAGGCCAAGGAAGCGCTGAGGGCGTCAGTGAACAGCTGCAGCCTCAGTGCAGCTGCAGCTCTTCGCGAAAACAGATGGTAGCGAAGCTTTACACACATCTCGACTGAGAGGTCTTTCGTAGCGGCCAAGGCATCCACCAGTTGGGCCGGTGAGAGGTGAGTGTGGAACAAGAACCACGCAAAACAAGTGTATTGAAGTCTTGAAGGTGAGTATATGGAACAACCGTATACCGTATACCACAAATAAACAAATGGCAAACAAATAACAATAAACAATTGAAGACCAATCCAAGACCCCGGCTCATGGGCGCCATGCAGCTCAACGAACACCACACCGAGAAACCCATATCCCCTTGGGATGCCCAAGCGGCGCCAAGGTCCATCGCGTGCTCCTTCCACAGGCGGTGATGGTGGCTCCAAAACCGACTTCCTTCCAGGTGCAAAGGCGAGGTGTGGAGAGTGGAGCGTGGTTCTGCACACCATACCATAGTAATGCATAGATGTATATCATCTCCTTCTCATAGAGCTTGTGATTTGAAAGGTTAGAGCTTCTGATCGAAGTGTCCTGCAGCGCAATAATAGCCGTGCTTTTATGTGGTGTTATCCACGTCCCTAGCGTGCATGCTTGTACCATGCTCACTTCCACGATGGCCGTTGAAGCCCACGGACAAGGATGGCCGCTGAAGCCCAGCCACAAGCTGTCAAGTTTGTCTCAATCACCCTATAATTGATCCCGAAGCAAGCAATAGCAGACAAAGAACATGGATGCCAGCGCACTTGCCAAATATTGAGCATTTAGCTCCTCAAATCCTCCCAAATCCAACAACAATCCAACTGGAATTCCAGCCCAACCGTCCCCCTTGCCCTCCCCCGAGCCACGTTCGCCGCATGGCTGCGCCAGAGGTGCAGCGCCTGGCGCCAGACCGCGCGCTTCGCACAGGCGGCGATGGCGGCGCTGAAGCCCACGACGTCGGGCTTGGGATGAACCTGGAGGAGGGGAGGGGAATGAGAAGTCTTTTGACCAAGAATGTTTTTTTTTTCCTCTCCTTGTAGGGATCCAAATACCGAACCTCAGAAGGTACGACTGGACCCTCCAAACCTACATAACGGTGTCTCCAATCACCTACTGAGAAGGTACTTGGATCCCTAGGGTTTGAGTGAGTCGCATATACGTTCTGAGGCGTTGTGTTTCACGTATTTATTATAGAAGATGTCTTTTTCTTGTGGGGTCCGACGTGGAAATATGTCCGATGGTTCAGGTTCACTTCTTCGCTAGCTTCTAGCAGTGGGATGGGGAAACTGCCTCTAGCTTTTCAGAGGGCTTTTGGTGTTCTGGTTGGGATTACTTCTTTCGGGGTGACCCATACTGCATATGTCCCCACACAACCCCCCCCAAAAAAAAGAACGATTGGGGATCCATGCTACGGGGGGCGTCAGCCCCCCCCCAAAAAACATAATTCAGGAGGGTAGCCATGGCCCCATCCCCAATTTTGAATGATTATGAATACGTTGTGGGGGTTTATTTCACGCACTGTAGAGTATGTTTCTTTTTTTTCTGTGTAGGGTCCGATGTGGAAATATGTCCGATGGTTCAAGTTGACTTCTCTGCTAGCTTCTAGCTTTTCAGAGTCCAAGTCTGACTTGAGTTGGAGCAAGTGGCAGAAGGGCTTTGGCATAATTCCCCCCACACAACCCCCCCAATAAAAACAAACGACCAAGCATGCACAAGCAGTGGGTGGCGGAACCAATTGGTGTGAGTTGGCAGTTGTGTGGCTGGAAGTTGGCAGCCCACAGGCTGGAAAAAAATGATGAACGACACTTTTGTCAAAGCCCACATGGGGGGCACTTGGACAATTCCACTCGCTGGAAGATTCCACGTGGATGGCATGCCCGGGAGTACAGTACCGTTTTTCCAAATACCAAACAGGTGGTGAACTCCACTTCCACGATGATTTCAGGGAGTGTAGTTTCCGTTCATGATGGTTTCGAGCCTGGCCCAGGAGCGCCAAAGCTCCCTCCCACACTGCTGCCCTGGGCAGTGGGCGCAGTCTTAGAGTGCACAGGCGCTGTGGCGGGCTTCAGAATCATCAGAAAGAGTTTTTCATCACCTACACTCACTGAAAGAATCCCATTGATTCTCTGGATGAGGAAAAGCCCCCGAGGAATTAATCGGACTCCGACCCTTTTCACTCCACCCACCAAAGCCGGCCAAGCAGGGAGAGCCGTGAACTCAAAGGACCTGATCGGCTGGGCTGGGCTGGGCTGGTCTGAGGAGGCGTGTGGTGGTTGTTCCACCTGGAGTGCTCAGATTCCAGGCCGAAGATTCCCAGCCAAGACTAGCGCCAGGCGAGTGGTCCGAGGGACTCGGCTTGAAGCCCATGTCGAATCGACCATCCCATAGGACTGGCATATTGACATGCATGACATGAATGTCACCAAGGTATATAGGTATAATATATGTCATATGGATGGTCTGGGTTCTGGAACCGTTCGGTTCCGATGAGCCGCTGAAGGGGAACGTTCGCACGACGGAATCGGAGGCCGGCACCTGTCACAGGCACTGATCGCGGCATTCACCTTAGTCAGTGGCCACCACGGCTCTCTCTTGCCAAAGCCCACCTGGAAAAGGACAACACCGCCCACGCGAAACCGCCAAACCCAACGAACACCCCCAAGTGGCCAGGCTTGGGTTGGCTTGTGTTACTTGATGTTACCTGTCCTGATTCTCTGGTGTTTTTTTTCCACCCCACCACCTTCCCCCGAAACCAGACGTCAACAACCCGGTGCTCCAAGCGGTTCTTCCCAGCCGCCGAGGACGCATCCGCCAGCCGTCGCCGCTGGAGCTCGTCCAGCAACGCCCAGGCCGAGCGCCACTGAGCCGCCCGGCCGCAGGCGTGGATCGCCTCAGGGGAAGCTGCTGAAGCGACATGTTGAGTGGAGCATGGTGGAATCCATGTCGTATAGAAGGTGGTTCGCTTGCGATTTAAGACCCACGTCATGATAGATTATGCACACAAGAGGGCGATGACAGTTGAGTTCTTCAGGGTGCGATATCCGATATCGTTTCGGTCACCAGTTGGGACGTGAGTTTTTGTGATAGCTATCTTGCCCAAGTCCCGGTGGCAAAAATAAACGTGATTTACAAGGGATGGAGAAACCGGGCACACTTGCCAAACGGAAAGCCACCTGTATGCGTGGGTCCAAAACCGGAGCCCAAACGCCTGGTCGGTGACCATGTCACTGTCTGTCGGGTCGTCTATTCTGTGCATGGGGGTCCCCGGTGCCATATGCCATATGACTTCTTAGAGGTGGGGCAAACACCCCACCGGCCTGACCCAGACGCGACCCATGGGACTGCCATAGGGCTGCCAATCAGGACAGGGGTGGTGCCAGGGGCCAGGGGGTGAATGGGGCAGCATATATAGCAGTCCCATGGAGCGTCTGGGTTAAGAACGCGCCAGAGGGACGGAATTCCAGCCCCACACGTCCAGTGCCGCCCGCTGAACGGCGCGCAGCAAGGTGAGGCCCAAAGACCATTGGGCGCCCGTCGCCAGCGCTGCCAGCAGGGCGTTCAAAGGCGCAGGGTCGCGAACCGGTGGCCTCAAAGCACAGGCACAGGGTCATGGGATGGTCTCGGCAAGGACGTGGACCAAGGACCCTGACCTTGGAAAGTGCTGCCAGAAAGAAGTTGCAGGATCCATGAGACTTAATCCTGGCCTGGCTGTGGGGTCAAACACAAGGCGTGCAAAAAGGCAAACAGTTGCCTGATCTATACATGTGTCCCACAAAGAATGCCTGGGTCATGCCTCAGAAAGGGGCTCCTATGGGCTCCTATGTACCGATTTCTGTCACCAAAAACCCAAGAGGTATATCCTTGATTGAGTCGCTTGTGCTGCCCCAGCTGGGCTGTGGAGAGCATCTGAGCCTGGTCCGTGGAGTGCATCTGAGCCCAGCAAGGTTCAGAACCAACATGTTCCAGAAGATAGCTACTGACCCATATCCAACAAAAGCATACAAAAGCCATCAAGAATGGACATGTTTTGCGCAAAGCATCCAAACCAAAAACCCAGTGGTTGGGATTATCAAGATTTCTTCAGCAGGGAAAACTGAACATCAAGAAACTGTCCTGAAGAGTCCTTCTCCACTACACGTAAGGTTATCCGAAGATCCAAAAGAATTGAGATACAACAACATGCTCAATGAAACCCGATGCCCCAACTGAATGAACAACTTCTACTGGCTCCGCCGGCCTCCGAACGAACACCGGCGGTGCTAAACGCGCTAACAAGCTGATCCACCCCCCTGGCCCTAGCATCCTAGAACATGTTCTACACTGACCTCTCGTCCCTCTGCCCCGTCTGGTCTCCCACTGGTTGTCGCTTGTTGATCATCAGTGATCATCAGCCGCTTCGACTCGTCCTCTGCGTCGACTGCGTCCGGGGCTCGGAGCTTCACGATCGAAGGCCTCGTAGATCTCCAGGCTACGCCTCCAGTCGCTTCGACGACCACAGGCACTGATAGCGCTTGAGGCGCAAATGGAGAGCCGGTGATGCTCCCAGAGGTCTAGACCTCGTGGGGCGGGCGCCAGATGGCTGAACATTTGCTTCCAAGGAGTTTGAACTTAGAGCTACGTAGAACTACATATAGCCATTGCCAGTTTTGCCCTGTTTGGCAGCCACACAAAAAAATGGTTGAACATTCTAAAGGTGCTACAAGTAAGGTGCTAGGCATACATTGTTTCACAGGCCTGCACGTCTAGAACGGGGATAGGCCAAACTCTGTGCTGGGCAATGTTGGTGGAGTTGCAGTGGCCCACAACGGGATGAGGAATAAGGTTTACCCAGGGACCCAGCCCGAGTAAAGCATTTGTTGATGCTCCAGCTTCATGGATTTGTCTCCTAAAGAGTGCATGGGGGGGCTGGAACACATGAATTAGTTTCTCGGCCTCATTAATCCAGCACTCCAGCACTGACAATTCTTGGTTCTCCTTTCTCAATTGGACAGGCTCAAACAAATCAGGAGGTAAACCATTGTCATTACATAAATTCACGAAGTTTCAGAGGAGAATACCTAGACAAAGCAGCACAACCTCCAATACCATCCCGGAAACCTTCGCCTCACTGTAGATCAAAAGGGCGCACTGGAAATACTCTACTCTGAGGTCATGAATCCTTCAAGGTATTAGGTATTTCAATCAGGAGTTCCACCCCGCTGCTCCCCAAATGTCTTGAGGATCCGGGATCAAGAATTGACCTCCAATCTTTAGTGTGAGCCCCCACACACACAAGATCCCTAATGTCCACCAGCTGAAGTGGTTATAGTAGTCCCCAAATGGACTAAACAGAAAAGTAGGTCCCCACTCAAAATGTCGTGGAACCGTTTCTATCTTTTGGAGGATCGCAACCATCAAATACATGATGTTTAAACCATTTCAATGATGGACATCAAATAGTTGATTTTTTTAATGGTCCCTAGATGTCCCTAGAATTCATGTTTGTTCGATGGATGGTCCCACAACCTCGGTCATCTAACAGTTAAAACCCATCCGTCACATGCGTCGCCCAAGCCACACACCCGCCATTGCGTCGCGCGCGCGCTCTGCGACAGCACCCGCCGCAGCCGGGCGATGGCGAGGGCGCTTGTGGCGCTTGGCATGGAACGCCATGGGAGAAAGCTAGGAGAACTGGCAGGCCTCGTCTAAGAAAACCCACCTTGGAGTCGTTTTGAATCATCAAAATCCCTGAGTTTTCAGATGTTGAATCATGTTGAGTCCTTTGAGCAAGAGCCAAAGGATCCCATCAGCCGTTCGCTTTGAACTTCTAGCTTTGAATCAAGCCTTCATGCTTCGCCATGGCATGCCCAAGCGAAAACACCTTTTCAAAGCATCCGCTCGTCATGACTAAACACACCCCGGAACGCACCCCCCAAAGGAGGTGAGTTCGAGGCCGTCCGAAGCAACAGTCCGAACAAATCATCCATCAACCAGATCATGCAGGCATCATCACTGACATTTCGTGACATTCAAACGTTGTCAAGCTGACAGGAAGATTTAGAAACAACATCTTGGGCCAGACTTGTGGAGACCTTGTGACACCCAGAATTAGATCCTTTCCAGGCTTTATGTGTTTTCCCTCTGCCATGCCGCCATGATCTGCCATGTGCGCCTGGTCGGGCCCCCAGTGGCATCTCAAACGACCAGGTTGGTGTCGTGTCTGGCTGGTGCAAAGCCTGGCCAACCACACGGGAAAGGTGTTTCAGGCCCCCCCATCGTGGCAACTCTGGATGACTAGTGGGTGTAAAAGCAAAATTACCTATGCCTATAGCCTATAGCCGTACTAAGCCTTACTGGCTTGATTGAGCCCCTGAGCACCACACTGACCTAGCCAAACCGGAGGTTCTCGAGCAAACACCGTGCAAAGCATTACAAATCGCTGGCTCGTCAAACCAGCTGCCAAGTTCAACCAAATTGGTCAGGAAAGCCAACTTGGAAGTTCTTCGCATCGAAGGCGGTGTAGTACCTCAGTCGCAGTGCTAAGGAGCTTCTTTCTGACCCATCTCCGGATATGGGGCTGTTGGTGTTGGCGTTGTTCCTCTTCGCAAACCTACACCATCATCAGGAGGAGTGGCTACGGAGAGAAGCAAATGTTCCAGTTCGACAATCCGCCCACACCGCTTGTCGGCGCAGGGCATGCTATATTGGGGCTCTTGCGAGCTCTACACTTTAGCAAAAACATCCTATGCATATAGCTCTGCTATTTTTTTGTGGCTATGGTTGAGCTGCAGGGCTACTAGGGAGAGCGCTTTGGAGGTACATTTTGGATGCTGTTTCGTTACGTCGTGCTTGCAGGGCCACTGGGGAGAGGGTTTTGGAGGAGTTTTTTTGTTTTGGGGAGGTTGCTGCGTTGATTCTTGCTCGGCTGCAGGGCCACTGGGGACAGCGTTTTGGAGGTGTATTTTTGGATGGCTTTTCGCAATGCCGAAGTTGTATCACCATTATGGGCCAAGGTAGACGAAGTTGGCCCCAAGATGGCTCCAACGCAGCCGTAAGACAGCCAACCTGGCGCCTAGGGCCTAGATGGCTGCACTTGTCCACCATTTAGCCAAAATAGTTCGCAGAAGCTCACTTAAAATCCTGGTCCTGCTGGGGGAGGGCCGAGCACAATCTGACAGATAGCTTCAATGCCGACGTTGTCTCACCCAAGCTGATCCCAATTAGCGTCATTATGGGCCCCAAGGTAGACGAAGTTGGCCCCAAGATGGCTCCAACGCAGCCGTAAGACAGCCAACCTGGCACCTAGATAGCTGCACGTGTCCTTCATTTGGAGCTCAAATAGTTCGCAGAGGCTCACTTAAAATCCTGGTCCTGCAGGGGGAGGGCCGAGCACAATCTGACAGACAGCCTCAATGCCGACGTTGTCTCACCCAAGCTGATCCCAATTAGCGTCATTATGGGCCCCAAGGTAGACGAAGTTGGCCTCAAAGATGGCTCCAACGCAGCCGTAAGACAGCCAACCTGGCACCTAGATAGCTGCACATGTCCCTCATTTGGAGCTCAAATAGTTCGCAGAGGCTCACTTAAAATCCTGGTCCTGCAGGGGGGGGCCGAGCACAATCTGACAGATAGCTTCAATGCCGACGTTGTCTCACCCAAGCTGATCCCAATTAGCGTCATTATGGGCCCCAAGGTAGGCGAAGTTGGCCCCAAGATGGCTCCAACGCAGCCGTAAGACAGCCAACCTGGCGCCTAGATAGCTGCACTTGTCCTTCATTTGGAGCCAAAATAGTTCGCAGAAGCTCACTTAAAATTCTGGTTCTGCTGGGGGAGAGCGATTTAGGATGCAAAACCAGCAACATGTCTGAAATGGGATGTTGTTACAAATTTGCAGACATGGTCCCATGGGAAACACTTTTACTCCCTCTTTCTTTTCGCATCTGACCCTCCTTCACTTCTGACTGAGGAACCACAAACCTCCTTTATTACAGCATCACCCCGTGAAGCTCCATTTCACTAACATGGGATGTTCGTGCGCGGTGTGGGCGGCTGTCGACGCGAAGCGTCTTGAATAAATAGAAGCAACATGGATGCCATGCGATCCGATGCCACATCCCAAGACACGCTCGGGCAAAACGATATGAACACCGAGCTGCTTGTGCAGGATGGGCTCTCCGAACAAGAACACCTGGTCAACCAGCGGCATGCATTGCGTCCTGTTTATCCAATGATGTGTGATCCAGTCTGTGTGGTTGGCCATGATTGAGGATGGCGGAGAACAAACAGGACAAAACATTCCTTCTTGTGTGTGGGTTGGCACAGCCTGCAAATGTCCTTCTATACCATCTAGTTAACTTCCTGCTTGGGAGCCGAGAACCATGACAGCCCTTCGGAACCGGGAGCGATCTTCGGCATATCAACCTGAGGGGAGGCCGCTTCCGCGGTCGCTGTCGCTCCTCACGAACGACCTGTCGATCTGGTGACTTGGAGTCCCAGGGGTCGATCAAAGCATCAGCAACTTGCAGCACTGCTTGGCGGAACCGGGAGCCGGGAACCATGACAGCCCAACATCTTCCCCCAAAACCAGGGGCTTCATCCGAGAAACATCACAAATGGAGGTCCCTTAGTGGTGTAGGGGCTTCCATTGGTGACCCCTTTGAAGGTGGGGAGACACGAAAGGTAGGACAGCGGGAAGAGAAGAGAACGCGAGAGGCAGGAACAAAAATGCAATGTTCGACATGGTGATTTATCCCCTCGGAGGCGACCTTTCGTAAATATATGTTCATTTGCACTCTAAATGTTCAAACATGTGCTCTCGAAATGTTCAAAAAGATTCTTAGGAAAACAAACTTGCCCCATGGCTCAGATCATCGGTGAGCATTGAATCGGAACATCATAGGATTTGAACTATCCTGAAACCATAAGAGGCTCACGAAGACGCTCCCCAGGAGAGAATTGACGTGCTTCACAAAACAAACTCTAGGTATGTATCCCCTCGGGGAACACCTTTCGTGATTAGAATTTCATATTCACTCTTTCTGAATGTTCAAGAGGGTTTCAACTATCCTGAAATCATGAGAGGCTCACGAAGACGTTCTCCAGGAGAGAATTGATTTTAGAGGGGGGGAGGGGGTGGGGGGTCTGTATTGAAAAATCAATTCCAAGGGGGCGGGGGGGGGTCTGTATTGAAAAATCAATTCGAGGGGGGGGGGTGAAAGAGTGACTAGGGCGTACACGGTTGAGGTGCAGACCGCTAGTGTCTTTTATGCGCAGAGTCTTATCCTCTTAGCGTCTTGAGCCTTATGGCAGTCAAGCATGGACACACTAGATAGGCCACTGGAGTGGAACCTGTACAAGTAGGCCTCTACATTTCAGCAGGCACAAAATTCATGTCCACTCCTGCCTATTGCGTATGTCGCACACTATTTTTCTACCGCAAGGCTAAAACAGTCCAGCAAGCTCTAGTAAGCTTAAAAGGAAACCACGGTGCCCTGTACTTACCAATTCCAATGTATTTCACACTTTAGAAAAGGTAATCTCTAGGTATACTAAATACAGTGAGGGAGCAATAGCTGACTCACCTCAAATACAAAGTCAAAGACAATGTATCTCAGCTGGAGACTGTATCGTTCACCGGCGAAGATACCATGTACCGGCGCTCAATAGCCGTTAAATAGCCAGAGCTTCAAAGAAACTTAAATTCAAAAGAAAGCGGCTTTCTTACACAGAGACCTGTAAAAGCAGTAAACGACACTCGCGTAACGAAGAACTAAAAATTCAAGACCGCACAAATTGCAACGAATTAAGATGCCTTGCAAAATGCAAGGAGCGTCAACTCTCGGTCCGAGGATTGTTCTTCTCTAAAAGTGGTCTCGGCCGCTTCCATACACTGCATCAAAAGGACTCTTACTCTCATTGACACCAAAAACAAAAAGGAAGGAGACACCGGCAAATGTATGTACAAAACTTGCACTACAAATGCAAACTTATGAAATGACTTAATCATCAACCATGAATGGTTGTCCATTAGAGGTCACCTCAAAAGAGCGGCTGTGGTAGTTATCATCAGTTCTGAAAAACTGTCCATACCTACCTGCAGATAATAACCGTTTAGTAAACTGTATTTATCTGCATGCTAAAGCGTATAAACCTGGAATGCAGGAGTATCTTCTTTGACAAAAAGTTTCTCCTTGTTGCAAACCAGAATCCATTAAAACTTCAGCCTGGCAACTTAAAGTCAAGCCTGGAAGCAAAGTATCAACTGTGATCAGAAGTATCTTCACTTCCTAGCTATCATTAAAAGTTAGCCTCCGCTCTGAGTTTCATGCCGCTGCAGTCGATGGAGCTGCTTGATCAGAAGTTGGCGGCCTTCCTTTCCTTTTATTCTCTTTCTGTCTCTCCTTCCTCCGCAATTTCGCCTCATGAAGAGTTGCTCCCATGCGATACTGTCTTCTGTCTCCAGATGAATAGGAAGCTGGTCTGAGTGAAATAAACATTGGACCATGACTGTCCTCGTCAGAGGGCCTTGAGCACATAACCTCCGTGTCAATCATAGCAAAGTTCTCTGAAAAATTACAGATGAACTCCTTCGTGCTCACTGTGGAATTTTCATATTCCTTATCACTCATTGAATGACCCCATTCAACAATGGTAGACAAACATGTATCTCCAAGCTGTGATCCCTGGTATTCTTCTTTTTCAACAGTAGAATATTCTTCCCAGAGTTTGTCAAAGTAAACTTCACACTGCTTGAGGACTTGTGAAGATGAACTGTAAAATGTTCTGGGAATAGGTGCTTTGATACCAGGATCTGCTTTTACATGGGCTTCTGAAAACCTGCGGATCCAATGCTGCATGGTGCTGTAATAATAGTTAGCCATTGGCTGCCTTTTGTACCCAGACATTCTGTAGGCTAAACTATTTGCATCACCAGAAATGATGTCCACCTCATAGACAAAACACTCATAAAGCATCAATGCTGTCTGTTCTCCTGTCAGTAGGTGGGCATCCACAGCACGGTGTGTATCAACATGATAATTACAGACTCTTATGGTATGCATGTTCGCTCTAGTAAGTGGAACACGCTGGTCCTCAGGACCATAGTCATCAAATTCAAAGTCTGCATCCTTGAAATCTTGACGAGGCCTTGTTTCTCCAAAACAAATCTCATAGATAGCCCAAGTTACATCACGCTGTTGACAGTGACCAAGGTCTTGGTCATGTCCAGCAATGACCTTGATATAGCCATCTGGTGACAATCTAGCCATCACTGCAAGATTCTCCCAATCATTGAAACAAACTGTCCAATTCTTCTGCTCAATAAATTCCTTGGCAGGAACAAGAAGATGAGCTTCCTGGAGAATCACGACATGTGCACGTAAAAAGAAGAGCATGTTGAAGAAAAGGTTGTTCTCAAATTGCTCGTATTGAAGTGACATGGCGCTCTGTTTGCGTGGCCTCATTGCACTATCAAGTCCTTGGAGAAACCTTGGTGTGGTGTACTTCTGACCACGAACCATGTTGCCATAGTTCCAGGATAAAAACGTCAAGGACTCTGAGCTGGCCAATAAGTTGGTTCCATATTGTTCTTCTATTCTTCCCTTGAGGAACCTTCTGCACAGCTCTTCATAGAAGGTGACAAAGTCCCAACTGGGTCCCTTGGGACCATATGATTCCAGTTCCTTCTTAAGTTCCTTCTTCGTATCCTCCAATTCTTCTCGAGCATGCTCTGCCCTTTCAAGGGCCTTTGGATCGACCTGATACTTGCCATCCAAATAACTGATGCGATCATCATTGATGAAAAACCTCTTCAAATCATGCTCTGAGTCGTGTTCATAACAATCAGGTGGAGGTACTGGACAGACATATTGAATGGATCGAACAAAATCATCCTCGTTGATCCTCGACTGATAATGAGGATGGGAAATCTCACCTTTTCTGAACAAACATGGTTCAGCAATCTTGCGTGAGTTTCCCTGAAGCATTGTTGATAAAAGCCAATACCTGGATCTCCTGTAATCTCTCCAAGCAACCTCAAAGGTGAGACATGCAACTCATAGGTATTGTCATCATCCACTGTAGCCTTGTCAACAACTACTTCAGATGGAAAAGATTCTTGGATTTCAGCCTCCAATTTCTTCTCTCCATCATCCTCTCTGACCTCTTTTATCTTCTTCACCGCCTTCTTCTTCTCTTCTATGGTTGCATTATCCTGAACTTCTTCATGAAAATGAGGATCAGGAATTTTATTCAGGCGGCTTCTCTTAGATTTCCGCTGAACTGGAGTATCATCAAGGTTAGCATCCATCTCACCTGATGGTAAGTGCGATGCAGCTGAGTCCTCACCTATCTCTCTTGACAGAAAGTATGGTGCTGACTCCTCCTTGACTTCCTCCTGGTCAACTTCCATCTTTGGTTCCTCTGAAGGAAAAATACCTGTATTCTCATCAAAAAACTTCTTCATCTTTTACGGGTTCAACTGCAGGATCTTCTTCAAGAACTTCCTCTTCCATATCTTCATCTTCCATCAACGTCATACTACCAGTGTAGATTCCACCAGCGATAGTGGAGACTCTTGTGTAAGGAGGAACTTCTTCACCTGCCTCAAAAGCTTGTTCTGCGACATCCTTGGTGAGCAAGTCCTCTACAAGATTTTCTCCCATGGTCCTTGGAAGAGGTTCTGAGGTCTCATGAAAATCTGTCCTCTCTGAACTGAAAACTTCTGTTGCCTTCTCATTGTCCTTTTTGTCCTTGAAAAGATGAGTAATCTTCACTGCTTCTCCCCGCAACACCTGATCACCTTCTCTGTACTTGTTGACAATGGAGCGCCATACTGGCACGTTGTCATCATCAAAATCAAGCTCCATATCATCTGCCAGCAAGTTTGAGATGTTTTGAGCTGCCTGTTCTTCTTCTTCTTCCTGTTCTCTGGCATGCTCCTCATCCTTCTTGATCTTGAAGACACCTTTCAAGATATCTTGTAGTACCTTTAAGTTCAGCTTCGATGATGGCTCATACGTTCCTGAACTTACAGGCTCAACTACAACACGAGAGCAAGAAATCGCCTCCAAAAACTTGGAATTGTATTGGCGTTCAAACTCTTCCTTCTTGATCATCTCATACAAGGGATCAGAAACTGCAACACGCGCCTGAACATATTCACGAAGTTGATAGCATGCATGTTGCACAAATCTGCTGTTGGAGTTGTGAAGAAAACTCTCTAAATGATTCCTGTCACGGTCAATCAGATACCACACAACTCTTGCAGAAAAACGGAATTTCTTGAAGTTCATAGCAAAATGCCTATGATACTTCTCTGGATCCTGTTCTGCATATAAGGCATCCTCTGAAGTCTTGTAAACAGGGAGATTTGTGACTGGATCCAAAATCATAAACTCTTCCCACAAGATCGAGTGGTCAAG